GCCTCTAACTAGGAAAATAGTAACCCAAAAGAAATCCCACATTCCTGAAGGTAATGCAGGGATTAGTGCAGCCATCAAGGACTTGAAAGATGAGGGGTAGTGATTCCCACATCCCCAAGAAAGAGGATCCTGGAGAATGACAGTGGATTCTCGTAAGCTTAACCAGGTGGTGACTCTAATTGTAGCTGCTGTAGCAGACTTGGTTTCGTTGCTAGGGTAAATGAACACATCTCCTGGTACCTGGTATGCGGCGACTGATGTGACAAATGCTTTTTTTCTCCATCCCTCTCCATAAGGCCCACCAGAAGCATTTTGCTTCCAGCTGGCCAGGCAAGCAATACACTTTCACTGCCCTAACTCAGGGATATACCACCCCTCTGGACCTATGTCACAATTTAGTTTGCAGGGATCTTGATCACCATTCCCTTCCAGAAGACTGCACGTCGCTCCACTCCACTGACGACAGTACGCTAATGAGACCGAGCGAGTGGGAAGTAGCCGCCACTCTAATCGGTGAGACATTTTCATATCAGAGGGTGGGAAATAAATCTAACAAAAATTCTGGAGCCTTCTACTTCAGTGAATTTTCTAGGGGTCCACGGTGTGGGCCATGTCAAGATATCCCTTCTAAGGACTGCTGCATCTGGCCTCTCCTACAACCAAAACAGAGGCACAATGCTCAGTGGGCGTCTTTGAATTTGGGAGGCAACATATTCCTCACTTGGTTGTGTTACTCTAGCCCATTTACTGAGTGACCCAAAAAGCTGCTGGTTTTGAGTGGGGCCCAGAACAAGAGAAGGCTTTGTAGCTCTGCAGCTCCAGGCAGCTATGCAAGCTGCTCCGCCCTTGGCCTTATGATCCAGCAGATCCAATGGTGCAGGAAGCATAGGCAGCAGACAGTATGCAGTTCAGAGCCTTTGGCAGCCCCTAGAGGTGAATCACAGCAAAGGCTCTTAGGATTTCAGAGCAAAGCCCTGCCATCCCCTGCAGATAACTACCTTCCTTCTGAGAAACAGCTATTGGTTTGCTGTTGGGCCTTAGCAGAGACTTGACCATGGGCCACCAAGCTACCATGCGACCTGAGCTGCCCATCATGAGATGGTGTTATCTTTATCCGGCCCACCAAGCCATAATGTGGGCGTGCACAGCAACATTCCAAAGTCAGATGGAGGTGGTATATACATGATCACACCCAAGCGGGTCCGCAGGCACAAGTAAGTCACATGAAGAAGTGGCCCAGATGCCCACGGTCCCCACTCCTGCTGCTCTGCTTTATCTCCCCTGGCCTCGTGGGGATTCCTCCGGATCAGCTGGCAGAGGAAGAGAAGTCTGGGCCTGACTCACAGACGGTTCTGCACAATATGCAGACACCGCCCCCAAGTGGACAGCTGCAGCACTACAGCCCTCCTTGGGACATCTCCAAAGGACAGTGGTGAACGGGAATCCTCCCGGTGGACAGGACTTTGGGCAGTGTACCTGACTGTTCACTTTGCTTGGAAAAATGGCCAGACATGCAATTATATATTCATATTGGCCAATGGCTTGGCTGGATGGCTGGGGACTTGGAAGGAACATGATTGGAATATTGGTAACGAGGAAATTTGGAGAAGAGGTATGCAGACAGACCACTCAAAATGGGAAAAAAGAAAAAGGTGAAGATATTTGTATCCCATGCAACTGCTCATTAAAGGGGGACCTCAGCAGAGGATTTTAATATTAAAGTGGATAGAATTAGCTTATCCTAGTTCTACAGATACCAGTCAACCCCTTTCCCAAGCCACCCCTGTAATCACCCAATGAGCTCATGAAAAAAGTGGCCATGGTGACAGGGATGGAGGTTATACATAGGCTCAGCGACACAGACTTACACTCTCCAAAGCTGACCTGGCTACTGTCACCACTGAGGCCTTCAAACTCATACTAGAACTATCCCATGGGCTCTCCTGGGTCTCCCTTATGACAGTTTGGCCCCATTAATTGTTATAATTTTTTAAAAGCAAAGAAGCAAGCATATCTGAGGTTGACAAATCTTCAACCCCAAGACAATCTAAGGAAATAAACACTCCCTTGGATGTCACCCACAAGGTTAAAAAAAAAAACTATGAATTCAGAAGAGAAAGATAAACAGGAAGCTTTATGAAATTCACTACATGCAGCAAAGGTTACAAGATCTACCAAAACATCAGAAGCAGAAACAAAGTCAGGGGTCATAAAACCCTGGAGAACAATGTCCAGAGCTGATGGCTGAGGCTTCCCAAGACCAATTTCTGAGAATACATCTAGAAGCAATGATATAACAGAGGGCTCTTCCTCTAGCTCCCCAACTTTCAGCTGGTGTGGTCCCCTGGAGGTTAAAGTTATTGTTTATAGTTTATCTACTCACTCAACAGATGTTTACTGGGCTACCACTATGTGAGAAGCACTGTTCCAAGCCCTGATTTATAAACAAGGTACAATGCCTGAGCTTACACCCCTTAACATTATAATGAGAAAGACAACCAACACAAACAAATACATTTACGTCCAAGGTTAATGCCTCCAGCATTAAATAGATAGCATGTCATATACTGGTAGCTCTCACTTCCAGTCCATAAACAGAATAAAAGAAATGGCTCTGATTTAGAGTATTTGAAGGTCATTAAGTATATCATACAATTTCTATTTAGTAAAACTGGAAACAAAGGCCAGTTCACTCATAATACTAGTTAGCCTGGCCTGAGACCGCCTGCACTGCTAGTGAAAACACCTGGAGCTCAACCCTCAAAACTGTGTGCCCACAGAACCCACAGCCTTACAGAAAGCTAGGGCCAGAGGGAATAGTCTTCGACAAACGTTTCAGACAACATATGCAAAAAACACTTGTAAATCATATATTATCTATGTATCGGTTAATAATAACACACAGCACTGTCACCTAAAAATAATTCACCAGAAAAATCCTGATAAATATATTTTTCAACTCACCATTACTTTCCAGGTTGTCTCCTGCCTTTCATAGTGACTTTTCAGCAGATGGCTTTCTTTTTGCATCAATTTCAGTAAAAACCTTAATTTGCTTGAGTTTTTCAATTGCTAAGCAACAAAAATGCAGTAATTTCTCTTTATTTACTTAATAATTAGTCCTAAGTTTACTGAATTCATTGGGTCTTCAGAGCATCAATGACTCTGAAGCCTGAAAGAAACCACAAGCCCAGTGTAAAGTATGTGACAGACTAATATGTTAAAATTCTTCTTGTCAAGAAACAGGATAAGCAGTATTAAAGGACAATTGGGAAGGAAATGTTTGCAATTAACCTGATAGCTAATACTTAAAAACACTGCAAAAATGGGCAAAGAAATACAGGGAGGCAATTTACTAAAAATTAAATACAAATGACCCATAAATGTGCTTTGTAAATGTCCACATGGCCTCACTAGTAATTAAAGAAATGTAAATTTAAAAACGGAAATTTCTCATCTATTGAATTGGTAGGTTTTTTTTAACTAACACCCCAAATTGGTGAAGATACATTGTGGGAATAGAGGCGCTCACACGCTACATGAAAGTGGAACTGCTAGGAACTGCTAGCAAAAATCAGACAGTTTTTCTGAGGAATAACTGGGAAATATCTTTTCAAAAATCTTTAAAGTATGCCTACTGGGAAAGTAAACTGCAGAAATCTGTCCTAAAGACAAACATTTATTTGTAAAGATGTACAATGTAGCTTATTAAACTAAAAGACTGGGGATAATTCATGATTATAATGGCTCTAGGCAATATTGTAAATAGCACAGAAAAGTACTTTAGGCATGGAAACCTCCCCACTATATGATGACGGGTGCAAAGACAAATCGACAGTGAGTACAGTAGGGCTCCATTTCATTATTTATTTGGTTATGTGTTCACATGTGCACTCACACAACATTGAAGGGTTTAGGTCACAGTATCCACAGTAGTTCTCTGGGTTGTAGGATTGTGAGTAATATTAATTTTCTTCACTGTAAATTTTGTTTTCCAAATTTTCTACAGCAAACATTTATTTCTTTAAACACACAAAAATGGGTAAGAAAAAAGGTAGCTATCTGTATAGACTCCAGATGGATTAAACAGTTAAGTGTAAACAAAACCATTTTGAAAAGAACAAGAAAAAAAAGGAGTATTTGTCACATCTCAGGAAGGGAAAGGATCTCCTAAACACAAAAAGAGAGAAATCAAAGGAAGAAAAAAACTGGACAACATAAAAACGCAAAAATTCTGTAACCAAAACAAAACAAAATTAAAAAGTAAACTAACAACTAGAAAAACATATTTACAAAAATCTGATAAATAGCTGATGCATTTCACATATAAAGAGATATTTCAATATGAAAAAAAGTGGGCAAAGGACAATGAAACACATAAAAAAGATATGTGTATTAGATTTTTAAATTTATTTTATAAATTAAAATTAAAATGTCCTACCTCACTAAAAATGTCCAGAAAATGACAGAGCCAAGATTGGAATTCAGGTCTATTTTGCTTCAAGGCAATATACCATGTTGCCAAAATAAGTCATCACTTTTTTAAACCACATTCATTTTAAAGTTTGTCCATGACAAAAGAGTTTTCCCCCTTCTATCATGCATTTTGAAATGACTAAAGAAATAAATAAATGAAATGACTAACAGCAAATAAATAAAATAGAAACTATGGTGGGGTTTTTTTTAGATCCTAAATGGAGGCTGAGTTCTTCTGACATATCCAGATAAACCAAAATTCTCTTCCTAAATATTTAAATGAAACTGTATTTATCGAAATCACAGTCAGTATAAAAACTGCTTCTTATAGAAAAGCATCTAACAACTAACTATGAATAGGAATAGTAAGTAAAATCTGGTTTTCTGATTTTATTAAAGACTCAAATGGTTTACTGAAGGAAGATGCCAATTATTAAAGAAACTAAGAAAAGGAAAAATTTTAAATATAGTACAGTAGAAAATTAAAACATTAATTGTGATTACATTAAGCAATATATACTAACCATGAATCAGGGAGCCATTTAGCCACTGAATATAGTAGTTTTGAGGAAAAGAAAGCAGGATTTCATTGCTGATTATTGAGAAGGGTAAAAGCAAAACTGCCCCAGCTGAAACTGCTAGAGTGAACGTGCTCAGAAACAACCTGGAAGAGAAGAGCATCATTGTCACCAGTGGTTGGAAAACGCAAAGAATATGGGAGTAATTCAGAAAGAATAGAATCAAAACTCTTAAATTTTTTAAATCCAAAAAGGATTACATATGCATTTCATTGAGTATATGTAGTTGGAAGACAAGTGATATACGTATGGTCCTGGAAGTTAAACCAGACCAACTCTAAAACTTACTCTGTGAAAAAATCATTAAGTCTAAAGAGTCGGCCTAAAGCAGACATAAACTAGAGACAGGATACTTCGCACATTTTACGAAGAATAAATTGTAGTCTCATTCCTCTTTTAAATTTAAGTATTTATTTCACAATTGCATTTAATTAACAACTATGGCAATATATGCTAACAGTAACGCAAAAACCAGTTCAGTTGAAAAAATGCTTGTGAACACAGTATGAAAAAAGAATTACGTGAAAATGGTTATTTCAGGAAGAAGAAACTTACAAACCTATTGGTCTACCATCTCTTAAAATGGGTAAAGGTTAAATAAACTATATAGTAAACTGTAGGCAACTATTAGAATTATACATTAAACAATATTTAAAACACAATTTTGTCATTTTTTGAAATAAGATATCTCTAATACGTACTAATATGGAAAGATGTCTAAAATAAATTAAAAATAAAAACACGAAGAAAAGCATGGACAATAAATATAAAACATGCTCTCCCTCCGCCCCCCGCCCCACAAAGTGCATATTTACACACAGGAAAATAGAGGTACATTAAAAAATCTAGCATAGGGCTTCCCTGGTGGCACAGTGGTTGAGAGTCCACCTGCCGATGCAGGGGACACGGGTTCGTGCCCCGGTCCGGGAAGATCCCACATGCCGCGGAGCAGCTGGGCCCGTGAGCCATGGCCGCTGGGCCTGCGCGTCCGGAGCCTGTGCTCCGCAACGGGAGAGGCCACAACAGTGAGAGGCCCACGTATCGCAAAAAAAAAAAATCTAGCATAATATATAACAATTCCTAGGAGAGTGGGACTACAGGGGGCTTTCTCTTTCTCAGTTACACATCTGAAATGTTTAAAATTTTATACCTAATTTTTTTTTTGGGGGGGGTGTGTATGCGGGCCTCTCACTGCTGTGGCCTCTCCCATTGCAGGAGCACGGGCTCCGGACGCGCAGGCTCAGCGGCCATGGCTCACGGGCCCATACTCCGCGGCATGTGGGATCTTCCCGGACCGGGGCACGAACCCGTGTCCCCTGCATCGGTAGGCGGACTCTCAACCACTGCGCCACCAGGGAAGCCCTATACCTAATTTTTTAAAGATTATTTTAAAAGACTAAAATGGCAAAGGAAAAGGGAACCTCACTGACATTAGAGATGAAACCTTAATTTAATATTCATTCCATTAAATTTAATGTAGAAAGAACGTGAAAATACATGTAAGAAGATATAAGAAAAAATGATACTAAACGCTCAAAATACACATCTAATAAAGTAACTTTGAGGCCAATGCCATCTTGTGGCAACCAAAAGAAGCGTTTTCCTACTTAAAAGCTGAAAATAACCATGAAACCTCCCGTGGTCAGCAAATCACTAGTAAATTTTTTAATGTAGACCATATGATACACACCAAAAATACAATTCAGTTCAGACACAGAAAAAGCCTTACAAACAGGTTTTGCTGAATGGACAACACATTTCCTGGGAAACGCAGAGACACACCCTCACCCCAGGCCCACTGCCATCTCCAGCACTTACCCACCAGTGCCTCAAGCAACCTTCGTTTCTGTCCTCATAAGTCTGTCGCTACCATTCCTTCCTTCTTCCAACATGAAAATTAAGACCACATCCACGATCTCCCCATTCCAGGTTCCGCACAGCTCTCCCAATTTGCCCTTCCAGGCTCCTCTGGCCATGACAGATTCCCACATACAGGCAGGCTTACCTAACCTCCTTGTACCCCCAACATGAATGGGTTTTCTGGCTCCGTGTCCTGGGCACAGTCGGCCCTCTCCCTCGGGTCCCCTCTGCGTCATCTGCCCCGTTAAGCACTCCTCAGCGGCTCCCTTCTCGCTCCTCTCAGTAAAGTCAGTCCCTCCTCTCTTGGTGCTCATGACACTGACTCGCACGCAGCAGTGAAGGCTAACCATGGCTTCCAGGTCTAAAGCTGGGAGATGTAATCTGACCAATGAGTAAGCTTATGAGGGGAAACAGATGAAGTTTTGAAATCAAAAGTGACCCAGAAAATCCTAAATATATATGGTCACTGTAAATATAATACTGGATGTTACGTCAAAAACCTTCTAGGGACTTCCCTCGTGGTGCAGTGGTTAAGAATCCGCCTGCCAATGCGGGGGACACAGGTTCGAGCCCTGGTCTGGGAAGACCCCACATGCCACGGATCAACTAAGCCCGTGAGCCACAACTACTACTGAGCCCTTGCACCACAACTACTGAAGCCCGCGCGCCTAGAGCCCGTGCTCCACAATGAGAGAAGCCACTGCCATGAGAGGCCCGCGCACTGCAACCAAGAGTAGCCCCCGCTCGCCGCAACTAGAGAAAGCCCGCGCGCAGCAACGAAGACCCAACACAGCCAAAAATAAATAAATAAATTTTAAAAATTCAAACAACCAGCTGAGAGAAAATGTAATTTAGGGTTGAAAAGAACAGAGAGAGTGAATTTGGGGGCATGAGTGGATACAAACAGAGGACAGAACGAAGGCGTTTAAGGAGCAAAAGAGAAAGCGAAGGTGGGTTTAAAGGGAGGTGAGAGGGGCCAGGGAAAGACTCCTCAGCCTGACGCGGGGCTGCAATAAGCTGCGGGGAACCCTCCCTCCCTCAGGTGGCCAGATGGTGCTGGCCATCACCTACTCTTGGGGACATGTCTGAACTCTTTGAGAAGCCCGGGCCACTGTGTCTCCTCCTTTAAGCACAGCATCTCATTCTGCTCCTTGCTCTTCAGTGGGAGGAGGGCGGGCAAGGAAAGAGGCTTGGGGGAGAAGTACAACTACCCTGGGCCCACACCCGCCGGCACCGAGCACCCCCCGCCTTCTTTCGTGTGTATGTTATTAATCCACACAACATGCTACAAAGCAGGTGGTAGCTCGAGCTCACATATGGAGGAACGGAATCTTTCTCAATCTCTTCTGAACTCAAGTTAATCTTGAGTTCAGAATGTGAACCCAGCTCTGCCTGACTCCTCGGTTCTCACTCACTCCACCACAGAAGGGAAGAAAGGCAGCGGGAGACAAACAGACCAGTGGGTGGGGCAGCTAGGGGGACAGGCTAGGTCAGAGCCGCGCTCCCAGGTGACCTCCTCCTCCACATTTCCCCTTCCTGAATTTATAAGGGCACACACATCTACCTTCGGGAAGGGGATATCTGTGCGCATCACCATGATGCAAAAACCACCTGCTGGGAGAAACCCAAACCCCTCAGACAGGCCACGCCAGCTGCCATGTAAAGCAGGTGAGGCCGCTCCCCGGCACCACCACAAGGAAACTGCCATATTTTCATAAAACACAATGCAAGTGTAAAATCCAATGGGATGTGTTCTCGTCTTTTTACAAATTATTGAATGACAAACACATTTAAGTGGATTTACCACCAGAAGCGGAATATGCAGACTAAACCGGGGGGTGCACGTCTCACCAGGACGTCACACCCGGAGGGCTGGGAGAGAACTCACGTCTGCCCTTTAGTTGGGCTCTACCATCAGCACACACACAAGCAGAAAGAGAGCTATAAAAAAACTAAGAGGACCGTCTGGGCCCATCTCCCTGCTCACAGTAGGTAAGTGTTCAATTAACCAGAAGAGATGTCTGCTCCCTGTCCCAAGGCCATTCAAACAGCCCAGAGCTTGCTTTCTTTCTTTCTTTGGCCCAGCAATTTTCCCAATCTTAAGCCCATTTCCTGGTTAAATCCTCTGAAGATTAAATCTGTTGGCTCCTTAAATAAGCAAATTTTAACAGGAGATAATCAATTCTCAATTATCCATGTATTTGCTTATATGTGCTTTCCAAGGATAGGACTAACATTTGATAAAGGTGCTGTAATACTTTAAGTGAATTTTTTCCATATTTCTGCCCAAAAGGCAAAATTAAGTTTTGAAAACGTATGACTTTAGAATGAGAAACAAGACAACTGAACATTAAAATACATACGAAATCCTGTTGACTATCGCATCTTCATCTTCTTGCTCATCTGCAAAAATGTTCAAGGTATTAATATTCTTTTATCTTCCAACAAAATGTTTCATTAATTTAATAAAAGCATGAACAAAAATATAAACTTGAAGAAGCAATTATTGAATAGAAATTATTTTCAAAAAGCACTGTGTTTATTTCAGCACAGATCAAAATCTAAATCTCATTAAATCAGATAGGATAGAATATGTTAAAGAACAGAATGTTTTGATTGATCAAAAAATCCTGGGGCTTCCCTGGTGGCGCAGTGGTTGAGAGTCCGCCTGCCGATGCGGGGGACGCGGGTTCGTGCCCCGGTCCAGGAAGATCCCACATGTCGCGGAGCGGCTGGGCCCGTGAGCCATGGCCGCTGAGCCTGCGCATCCGGAGCCTGTGCTCCGCGACGGGAGAGGCCACAGCAGTGAGAGGCCCACGTACCGCAAAAAGAGAGAAAAAAAAATCCTGATTAACAAAACTCCCATATGTAAATTAAGATCTTCCAAAATATTTAGTGCTCAAGGAAATAAAACTCAGTAGAACCCCAGAACCACTATCAAGTTTATTGTTATACAATGTCAGTGAAATTGCTAATGAATGAAATTTTCTGGTTGATAATAGCCAAAAAAAATTTTTACTATAAAATTAAAATTCAGAATTTTAGAACTCATATAGTTTTCTGTAACTTGCGTCTATTGTTAGTAATGGTAATAATGAGGACTTTCTTGGATCATCCCAACCACCTTGGATACCACTGCCTTGATACTTCATCATTTCATTCAAGTTACAGACAGAAATATATCAAGTTCTGTGTCTTTGTAAGTAGGAGCAAGATGGCCCTTGCTCCTGTGCTCCCTCACCCTACCCTCTCCCTCTCTCATGGCTGTTGGCCATCTTTTTTGTCCTCCCACGTAATCTTACCAGCTAAGGAAACTATGATCCAATTACAAAAATATTACACAACACCCCGGCCCCTCCTTCTCGTCAGTGCCTAACTGGGGTTGTCCTCAAAGGCTCTCCGCGTAGGTCTATGGAATTCTGAGCGCCCACCTGTTTCAGTGACAATGGCATATTTGGGCCATTCTCTTAGACCATTTCCATTCTTAATTACTGACTGCCCAAAATAGTTTTACGACCAAAGAGACCACAAAATAACATAGTCACAATTAACTTTTATACTGTTGTACCCACATCCAATAAACCAACATATCTTGAAGATTGTTTTAATAGCTTCATATCCATTTCAATTTTATTGCTGACCCTCTACCAACCAGGTCCAGGGTCCTCATTACCCTCTCCCATGATTACTCTACAAAGCATCTAATAAATACCCTATTTTCCTGCTCATCATCCCCTGATTTCCCCTAAAACAATGCATTATTCATTCATTCTCTATCTCTCCCTCCTTCTGTGTCCATAATCTATGAAACCTGGTGCCAGAGCATCTTTTAAAACAGCTAAGATACTGTCTTGGATCCCAGGTCTTCAAAATTTTGAGAGATTATAGAATCCAAGGAGTATTTCAGTGCAGTCACAGAGCCAAGTAGTGCACTAGAGCAAGCACTATTTCCTGATTTCTTTTAAAATTCTGACAAGTTTAAAATAACATAAGGAAGCTTTAATATATGGAATCCTTAAATATTCACATGGCACCTACTATTAGCCCAGCATCACAGGTGGAAATCTTGTGATTTCTAGGAAATAGCTGAGATTTAACAGAGGTCAGTAAAGTAACTGGTTAGTTACTAATAAAACTCTGGCATAAAAATCTGTGAATTAATCAGCACAAAATTCATTAAAAAAAAGAAAAGATACAGTGGTCCCTCTGGTGAGATAAGGATACATATGAAATAATAAAAGGATAATATAATATGTAATTGAATGCTAAATGGTATTATGGAGACTCTAAATTCTATACCGCTTCAGAAAAAGAAAAGATATTCTGATAGAGAAAGAACTGGGTGGGGGTGATGAGGGGTATGTTCAAATTCAGAGCCAGTCACAAGGAACCAAATATCCTCATAAACTCTGGAATTTCCCAGAAAGTAAAGAGCCCTGGACTATTCTTAGTTGAACATAAGAATGGTGATAAAAAAGGGCTCGGGTCTAAGAAGATGACCCTGCGAGTAGTCAGATTCCCTGGAGGTTATTTTTAGGGCTCTTAGTACCAGGCAACTGCTTGCTTCAATCACAGGCATACTGAATATACTAACTATGTCGATGGGCACCATATAGCCATGGACCATGCCTAGACCACTTGGCATTAGAATCAAACCTTTAATAACAATGTGTCTACTAACCTGATTTTCTCTTGTATCTTGTGATGATGAAGTAGGAGACAATGTAGAGAATGGCAAAGAGAAGGAAACAGATCTGAAACAAAACAAATTTAACAATCATTTACATTTTTTGCATATCCTTTTAAGTAACAGAAGATACATCTTTGGCATTCACAGGGAAAAAGAATTTAATCTATTACAAAGTAAAAATTTTAGCTAATAAAAAGTGCTATGAAATATTAACTTATACAAACTAGTCAGCCCAGTTTAAAACCATTCCAGAAAAAAAAGCCCAATGGACATTTTGCTTTTCATAACTTGACCACGTTGTTTTCAAAATCATGTGGAACTGTAAAGAAACAGACCATCACCAACAATTTTGAAAAATAAAGTCAATGAGAGGCTACTAACCTTACTAAATATTAAAACATACTATTAATATAAAGCTTCAATAACATTTAAAGAGTGTGCTGACACCAAAACTTGACAGATCAATGAAACAGATTCTATCATAGAAAAATTCATGTGAGGTGGTTGTACATAAACGAGGCCTCACAAATCAAGGTGGGGGTGGGGGGCGACTATTCAATAATTAAACCACATATCAAAACGAACAGCAGTTGAACAAGATACTTTTTTAATATTAAATTCCTTATAATTTCTATCAGATCTAGGGGATGGCAGGCAAAAAAGGATGGGTGAAGGAATGGGAGATCTCAGTATAGTCAAAGATCAAGTGTGCTTTAGATAAAGGCCTAATGGAGCTGTGGACCATGGTAGAAATATTTTGAAGACTCTCAAATGAAACCATTCCAGGTGATGATAAAGCCTCGGGATCACCCCTATGCATGGATTTCTGAAGAAGGGTTGGCAGCCATATGACTGAGAATGATCATGGACTAGGCAGTAAATATCCACTGAGCAGAGTAGTGATATGATCTGACATACTGCAAAAGGCTCACTCTAGTTACAGTGTGGAAAATAAATTAGAAAAAGGAAATGACGGAAGCAGGGAGACCAGTTAGGACTCGCTGCAGTAATATAGAGGAGAGGTCACTTAGACCTGTGCTATGGAGGTGTTAAGAAGTTATCAAGTTCTGGGTATGTTTTGAAAGCAGACTTGACAGGACTTGTAGGGATAAACATAAGGTTCTTGGTTTGAGAAACTGGAAAGACAGAGTTGCCATTTCCTGAGTCAGGGAAGATCAAAAGAGGAGTAGTTTTGGGGTAGAAATAAGAATAGAAGTTTACATTGCTGAATTTGAAACATATATTATTCACTCAGGTGGAGAGGTTGAATGGGCAGTTGGATATAAAAATGTATACAGCTCAGGGGAAGGAACAAGGCTAGGGGGAAAAAAAAGAAGAGTCATCAGCAGATAGATGGTATTTAAAGCCTTGAGACTAGATGAGATTTCCACTGTAGGTGGTGAGTATAGCCAGAGAAGAGAAGTCTGAGAACAGAGTTCTGGGCTCTCAAATATTTAGAAGCCAACTCTAGAGAAGGAATCAGCAAAAGCTGACTGAGAAGCAGCAGCAAAGAAGAGACCGACGTACTGAAAGCCAAGTGAAGAAAGTTTATCTAGGAAAAGGGAATTATCTACCACGTCAAATGCTGCTGAAAGGCCAAGTAAGATGATCGCTGAGAACTGACAACTGGATTTAGCAACATGGAGGTCATCGGTGACCTTGACAAGAGCTGTTTTTCTGGAAGGGTGGAGGGAAAAACCTGACTGAAATGGATTAAGCGAGGAGAAAACTTGGAGCAAAATGAAAGTAGACAGTTCTTACCAGGAGTTTTATGATAAAGGGCAGCAAAGGAAATGTAAAAGGGATAGCTGAGAGGGGTTTTTTTAAGATGAGAAAAGTTATACAGTTGTTGAAATAACCCAGTACTTACTTCTGATGCAAGAAAGAAAGGGAGAATTGCTGAAGAAATGTGCTCAAGCTGAGGGGCTACATACAAAAATGTATCCAAAGTAAAAAGAAGGAGGAGGAGGAAAAGCAGGAACTGAGAGAACATTTGAGTCTCTCTGCAGGTGGGTAAGTAGATGGTGGTAGAAGCACAAAGACATTATCTTTTGATGGCTTCTATTTTCTCAGTGAAAGAGAAGTTCATCAAATGAGTACACATGAGGGTGGGGCGAGAAGTATGTAAGTCACGAAGGAGAATGGGAGAATAAATGGATTTGAGAAACGCAACAGAAGTGAGGGGCAACGGGAAATGAAACGGCCTTTAAAGTTTCAGGCAAGCTCAAGCCAAGACTAAGCAATGCAGGGAGGCTGATGATGCTATACAACACAACACAAGAGCTTGATTCTTAGATGCTGAGGCAGATGTAGGTTGAGTCCCCAAGAACTAGCACAGGCTTGATGATTCTAACAAATAACCTATTCTCTCTCCTCCCCTTTACAGCCTACACTTGTGGACTTCCACTTTTCACCAGCACTCACTCACTCACTCACTCTTCCAACCACTTATCTGACTTCACGCCCACTGACCCACTCAAAGTGCTTCTGGCAGTGGTCAGTGATGTCCCAACAGCCAAATTACACTTTCATGATTTCATTTGCCCTCTAAGCAGCAACTTGCATGTCAGCAATCTTCCTCTTCCTCCGTTTATTCTCCCAGACTCCATCACTAGCTTCCCTTTTCCTGCCAGCCTTTAAACATTATTCTTCTCTATGATTTCTGAGCGGAGCCAGAAATCTATTCTCATTCCACAAGCTCTTTATAGTTAACCTCATCTGCTCCCAGCGTTTGAACCACCAACCCCCGGAAATCCCCAGACCACCATTTGAAAACCACTGGTTTAGGGTACTAGCAAGAGTGAGTGAAATAATGGGCCATGAAACCTAAGTGGATTGGGAGAAAAGTGAACCCAAGTGATGGACAGGAGTGGACATGCCAATCAACTGAGGTTCCTGGTAGAGAAGCAGCTGCAATAAAAGGACTTGACCAAGGAAGCTGGAAGAATATAAAGTTGTGACTAAAGCATGTTTTAGGATTTTTTTAATTCGTAATTAAAGGTGGAGAAGAGTAGCTTCAGGAGTTCCAAGGAGTTTGTGCAGAAGTGGTAGATGAGAAGGCATGAAAGTTAACGGACAAACGGAAATCAAGGAACCAAAATGCATGGCATGGGATGGAAAAGACTAATGGAAAGCAATCCATCTAAGAGTAGAAGGCTAACAATTATAAAGACAAGTGTAAGTATTACTAATTTGGAAATAAGAGCTACCCACTATGAAAATAAACATACAACTATACCAGACTGGAACAACAACACAAAAATCACGGAACTAGTTAGGCCATTTTTCTAGTTCCAAAGACGGGGGGTAGGAGCAGGTGTGCTCCTTCTCTACATGAGCACGTCGGTATCAGAGAGACAGACCCACGACGAAAACAAGCATAATGATGCCTCCTATTCTCCTACATTCAGTGGAGGCAAAAGGAAATTCCTAACCAAAAAAAAAAGGAAGTCATTCCAGCTCGCCACCACTAAAGGTGAGGTACAGCTGATAAAAAGGGAGACGATGGGCTCTCACGGTTCTCTGAAAAGACTGAGCTTTTCTCTCCTGGTCAGGGAAGGAAGAACAAGGCTACCAGAGCCCATAAGCAGAAGCACAGGGGGCATGTCCTCTGTGCCAGCTGACCCAAAGCAGGTGCTGCAGCCCTCACTGGGGGCCACACGGCTTTAGTCCTGATGCTGATCAAGAATGGCCAGGCCTTTGGGAGCTAAGTTACCCAGTCACAAGTAACCTAATACAGGTATTTCTAAAGTTTGCTTTACACCACTTCACTTTTTAGAAAGACCCACTTCAGTACCTGTTTTTGGTACCCAAACAAAATCCAAAGAGGATTTTCGCTTTTACCAAAAAAAGGCGAAAAGCGAAAATCTCATTCAGCTCAGTGTTTTGCAGCAAGCGTTACAGAGGCAGCGCCCACCCCAGCAGTGAGAGCGGCCCGCCAAGCTCCTTCCTGGAACCACACTCAGCATCTCAGCATCAAGCTGCTACAGCTGTGAACCGTATCTGTGAGCACCTGTGCTTCATCTCGATTGATTTTGTGTATCTGTGAGCAAGACGGGTCCTAAAGTAACTGCTTCTCTACTTTGTGCCATTTCAGCTCAGGAAAGGTTTCCTAGGACGCTCTACTTTCAGAGGTCGGAAAAAACCTAAAATATATCTAAAATATGTTGTTAAAAGCAAATATTCTTAAATTCCAGGTATAAGACTTAAACCTAAATTCAAACTAATGCCTTATAATCAAACTGTATTACAAGCTTTTCACTTAAGGCTGATGGGCTTCAGCTAGTTTAAGATGACCACGGGGAGTAAATATTAGAAGAGTGATGGGTACAAATGGCCTAAGGAAAGCTACCAGTAACACGTTTCTAACAAAATCCTGGGAGAGAAGACAAGTCAACTATAACTGAGCCAATAATCTCACTCCACAGCAGAGCCAATAAACCTGGCTTTATTTTAAAGTTGCTAAATCAAAAATTTGAGATGTTGAGTATCAAGTTACAAGTGAACCACAAAATAACTAAAATTAAAATTATAATTCTTTCAAATTACCCTAAGAGCCAGACTATGTAGTAAAACACAAGAAAACACAAATAGGGCTTTCCCTGGTGGCACTGTGGTTGAGAATCTGCCTGCCAACACAGCGGACACAGGTTCAAGCCCTGGTCTGGGAAGATCCCACATGCCTCAGAGCAACTGGGCCCGTGAGCCACAATTACTGAGCCTGCGCATCTGGAGCCTGTGCTCCGCAACAAGAGAGGCCGCGATAGTGAGAGACGCGATGAAGAGTGGCCCCCGCCTGCCACAACTAGAGAAAGCCCTCACACAGAAACGAAGACCCAACACAGCCATAAATAAATAAATAAATTTTAAAAAGAAAACACAAATAGTTACAAAAATAAGATAATAAAGATGAAACATATTAAAATCATAATTGTAAATAAAACTGTCAAAAGAAAACTCTCACAGACATAGATATAGCTCTCTCAGACACAGATATAGCTAAAATGAAGTGACTTGGGATGGTTGAAAGCAAAAGGATAAATAAAGACATACCAAGCAGATGCT